CGGGTTGCTCAGCCCGAGTACATAAAGGACCCTATGCTAGCAACGAGCTGAGTCTGCGCGCGCCTACCCTAGTCCAGGATCTAGTCTCGTCCTGGATAGATACGAAGAGTTGCGAGATGAAGGGGGTTTCGCCGTCGAGAACACACCGATTGCGCTGCCTCCAGATGGACCACGCCATGAGAATAGCCAGCGTGGCTAGGCCCAACGGATGTCACTCAGTGTCTCATTGTGTCATGGAGGGCCAACCTATCAGCCGGTATGGAGGTCGATCGTGTCGTTTAAACTGAAATTTTGGTACTTGTTACAAAGTTGTACTAAAGCAATAGCAATGATAATTAATTTGAATCAGACGACTCATGTTCATCGCATCGCTAATTATAACCTAGTTAGCCAAGTCCAAACTCGTACTACGAATCTGGTTAGAAGCTGAAGTTACCTGATCTCTTTTTCCTCACGTGCTACGTCCTTGCCAAATGCTAGATGGAGCGAGGTCCTCTGACTTATCAAGGGATGTTAGGGCAGCTACAGTAAACTAAGTTTTCTTCCTTGCAGCTAGAACAGTGTTTTGAAACAATAGTTTATCAACGGTGATTTTTATACAGTAATTCATAGTATACAGTAATACATGAATAGTGTTATCTCTCTGATTGCCTTCTCTGTTCTACACATATCTGCCACTGTAGCTGCCTAACTTGCCTCCTTAGTGTCAGAGGTCCACTTCCATGCTAGACAAGCCCCACAACTCATGTTTGTTTTAATTAAAAGCCCCACTACACTAATGTTGGAGCACTTTCGCAGTAGGGCACTCATATAATGGTCACTGGAGTTTTGGCATTGCATAAACATGATCCATTAGAGGCGGCGAATCTGCCAAAAGTGAAGGAAAAGGCAAAGTTGATGCTAAAGAAACATACTCTGGTGCATGCATGACGAGTTAAACGAGGAAGCTAGGTAATGATTGCCATGCATGCATGCATCTGTCGTCCGTCACTACACACTAGGTAAAATCGTCCAATGCCAACGAAACCTCCTGTGAGGATCGTCTCTTGGTGGTTTGATTATGGATCGTGCTTACTTTACTGCGAGCAACTTGTGTTAGTCTAGTCTCTTTATCTAGCTTTTACTTACTGGCATTCCCGCATGCATGTTCATCCATGCTGTCATGCATGTTGGGATTAGCCGGTACGAAGAACCTGGCTGGCTAGCAGGCACGAGCTTTTCTTTGCTCGTTCCGGAATGAGAAAGTAGATTATTTTTATTTTCTTAAAATGGTCAAGAAAATTGTTAAGAATAGTTTGTAAGCCACTCGTGGACGGGCTCTTTACCCCCGTCTTCTTTCTTAGAGCATCTACAGGCACACGTAATAAATCTGGTCTCTAAAACGTACACGGACACGCCCGTGGATAGTGACCGGGGGGCCTCAAATTTTGTCATTTACAATCACAAATCCTATTTTCAAAACATCAAATACATGTA